TTTTTTTTTTTCTTTTTTGTTCATTTTCCTTTCATTATATAAGAATACGAACCCTATAAAGGCTAAGTAAGTGGTATGAGTTACAAAGATTTATCATTCACTAGAAAAGAGTTAAATGATTTAATCATTTATTGAGTGAGAAATTACAAAAGGTATTAATCATCATGTAATTATATAAGAAAGTAAGAAATTAAACATGATTATATAAAGTATGTAAAGGCATAGAACTGTGGGGAGGTGGAAGGTAAGAATAGGTTAAACATCCATAATGAATTGATTGATAATATTCTTCATTTGAATATTCATCTTTTATTATATACTTATTAAATTATATCATTAAAAACTTTATTAAGAGAAACTAAAAAAGAAATAAACTAGAGTTAAAAAAAAAAAAAGTTAAGGAGCATAATTCTCCCCCTCAATGCAATGAATATCTTTGATCAAGCAATAAATATTAATCTTATGTACTAGCTGCTCAAACATTAAGTAGCCAGTGATTTTGTAATAGAAATTTACTAGATTCTCACTTCAATAGATTTTATATTTTCCATGAGTCCATATATACATAGAGAAAAACTTTAAGTAAAATACACATCGATTATATCTCATTTAATTATCATCACCCATTACTTATGCAATGCTTATAATCACTATCCTTGCATAGTAAGGACATATACTTTTTGCACATAAAGGATCAAAGGTTCTACTCCACAAATATTCTCAAAGACTATACAAATATTCCTGAATTGTTTATAGAGGTGGCCACCATATCAATATTAATATATGTGTATAAATATTATATTTGTAATAATCCCTTTATAAGAATATAATAAAAGTTAAATCTCTAATTTGGTCCTTGAACTATTGTACGGACCCCCGATTTGATTCTTGAATTATTGTACGAACTCCCGATTTGGTCCCTACTATTTATCAATTTATCCTAAGTTGGTCATTCCGTACAAAAACCAACTGACGTGTCTTATTATTAACGTGATTTGTGGTTGTTAAGTTATTGTTTTTCATTGTTAAGTAACGGACACTTGAGCTGTTTTTTGTACGGAATGATCAACTTAGGACAAATTAGTAAACAGTAGGGATCAAATCAGGGGTCTGTATAATAGTTTAAGAACCAAGTCAGAGATTTTTTTAGTTCAGGGATCAAATTGGGAATCTAACCTCTAATAAATATTAAAAATCTGCATATATATATATATATAAACTTGAATTTTAAGTACCTAAATATAACAGTCATGTAACATTTGTTCCTTATAGATAAGAAAATATATATTTTAAATCAACTAAAGATAATAAAATATATGTTTAATTCTACTCTTGTGACTAACATAATGTATAACAAAATTTTGTAAATAAAATTTTTTTAAAAATATTACATCATAGCATATATTATTAACATGATATATTAATGTATAGATTATAATCAAATAGAGAAGTTGTTTTTGGACAACATGCATATTACTCACTCGGTGGTATAGAGTTCGGATCTTGGCCTTTGCCATTCTACTCTGCTGTGGAGTTCTCGAGATTGTAAAATGTCTAGCAATCCTTTTATACTTACAAAACTCATCAAACCCCATGTTACAGAATTCCAACCACATATTGGTTTAAGAGCAGGATCGTCTTTTATAAATTTTATTTTCTACCAAGGTCTTCCGGTACCTAAAATTATGGAATGCTTCATTTTTATCCTTAAAGAAATGTATCTATATCTTCCTTGAGCGATAATCAATAAATGTAAACATATGCAAAGTGTGACTAATAAACAATTTGTGCAATGGATCCCATAAATTAAAATGTAATTAATTAAATGTATCAATGGTAAGAGGATCGAATCATAATATAATTGATTCTAATATAAAATAAAAAAAGAATAGGATCCGATTATAAAAGGAAAGAATATCATACCACTATAAAAAAATTGATCAAATTATGAGAAATCAATTTATTAATTAATTGTAATCTCATTAATAGAAATATTTTCAATTAATTATTATTTCTTTATATTACGTATCCTCACCCTATAAATAAGATTGTTCATATGTAAATAATAATAATAATAATAAAAAGAAATAAACGTGCAAAGCCAACAAAGGCTTTTGTGCCATGGACTAATAGGGCTTTGATGCATCATGATGTCCTAGCACTATTTTAAATCACGTAATATCATGTCTTCTTCTCTCACTTATCTTTTATTTTGTTCATATTATTATTATTATGTTATCATGAAACTTCTACTATTAGAGATTTTCTCACTATATTAAAAACTTTTTCAGGGTATCAAAGCAAGTTGGTTTGAGGTCTACACTCAGCTTTCTAAGTGAAAGTTGAGTAAGGTTTCATTTTATCATTTTTTCTCCCCACCCTTCTATTTTCCATCTTTCCTTTGAAAAAAAAAAACAAAAACAAAAAAGGAGACATAAAAAATAAAAAGAGAGACAAAAAAAAAAAACCTACAAATTGAAGAAACCATTTGGCCATTTTCAAAAAAAAAAAAAAAATTTCTAGTTTCTTACAAGAACAAAAGAGATGGAAGGAACCATGGATTAAGGGGGTCTTAATGCATCATGTTGTCCTGACATTATCCCGAACCACATAATGTTGTGTCCTCCTCTCTCTTCTTTTTTTTCACTTATTTTTTATTTTATTCATGTTATTACTATGTCATCATGAGACTTCTACTATTAGAGATTTCCTCAATATATTAGAAACTTCTTCAGATAGGGCTATGAACTCTGATAATGAAATTGCTTAACAATGCTCATAAAAAGCGAAGTTAATGAACTATGCTCATCTACCAGATCCCTTTTCGCTCATAAAGTTTATCCCGTACTAATTCATGTGATCATCAATATATATATGCCACAACTTCATCAAATTCTTTTCTGACATGAAACAAAAAACAATTCCAGTTGAGCCTATAATAGTGGATCTTGGCAACACATAAAGCTTCGTATCTTTGTGACCTCTCATAACCACTAAAGGCTCCATAAGAACTTTCAAAACTCCACGCCTATTGGAAAAAACTTTGACCACTGGTTGAAATTGAGAGTCCCAAAATTTGGCCAAGAAAAAACTTTCATATGAGGAATGAAAATGATTATTAAATCTCCTTACAAAGTTCAGCAATTGATATATAATATAAATATAGTTTATTCAATTAGTTCTTACATATTGTGTACATGATTATATCTTTAAATTTATTTAT